GAATAGCCAGGTCAAGAGTACCTTTAATCGACGAGCATGTATGAAAGCCCGTAATAAGTGGAAGGCTGTCGTCTCTGCCTACCACGATGGGAAAAGGGGATGAAGTATGTGTATGTAAATACAGACTCACTTTGTACTATTAGTTGAAATATTTTTTGATCTTATGTATAATTTGACGTTGGCTCAACGGTTTGCACAATGGGCGTTGGATGGGGAGGTCTCAGGATCGTTTTGCGGTAGGCCCAGTTTGGGAAATGAAATCATTGCATAAATTATTTTTCCGGATTTACATCACGTAAATTTGTTTTTTCAAACAAACCAACGTAGTATTTCCTCTGGTGAAAAATCCCAAATAGACATAAGACTGCAGTACTAATTAATACGTTTTAATTTATTCTAATTTCCATTATTAATTAACTATAAATTTAACTTAATATAAATTCATATTGTTACAATAAAATAATTTGTAAAACAATATAGCGTAAATTGAGATATTTCTTTGTAAAATTAAAAATAAGGTATTTAATTAATAAGTTTTGTAAGTATAGTGAAAAAATATAGAGGTTTGCATTAATATTAGACATAACTGGTTGATGACTGTACCACCTCAGTCAAACGTGACCATGGGACATGTAAAGGGTTCGAAACGTTGGTTTGTTTGAAAAAACAAATATACGCGATTTAAATCCGGAAAAACAATTTCATTGTAACACTCGCGAAAACCTAAGAACTCGATATTGTATAAATTAGTTTTTAAAATATAGTCGTGGTAGCTTAAGAACGCGTTTATACGACACGAAACGAACGACTTCGTGTACGTGTTTAGAGACCGAACTGTTATGGCAAAATACGCTTTATTTATTTAGCTTTTACGATTTAATTTAAATGAGCGTCCCGGGCACACGGGCGAGGCTGCTTATCTTTGGTCTACGCGGCGGCTACGCGGTTGTATTATTCCGAGGAATTTAAATATTGTTGCCTAGTAAATAGAATTCAGATTCGCCATTAATGTACGGGAAAGCGTGGTAACTGGGTTACCGCGCGGCGGCGCACGAAAACTTTCGCGTCGTGTAACTTGGCGCTAATGGTTTCACCTACTGCCTTTTAAGCACAGGTCGCGGGTTCGAATCCGGGATCGCACTTCGGAGTTTTTCGGAAATTATGTTCGAAATTTAATTTGAAATTTACCATGAACCGAAAAGTTAAGGAAAACATCGTGATGTAACCTGTACGTCAAAGAAAGTTCACAACACTCGGAAAACGTGTGACCCCAACCCGCCTTGGGCCAGCGTGGCGGACTGTGACCTAAACCCTTGTGTTAATACTTCTATTAACATTATACATAAATTTAGTTTAGGTAAGATTCCGCTAGATGGCGTTGAACCTTTTATGCAATTTTCTAAAACGCGCTACGAGTTGTTCACGGAAATTGTATAAAATCGTGCCATTGGAACATACAGGCTGTTTCATTTTGGATATTTTTGGGACGCTATACATGGTCCTTCGAGTTGCCGGTTTACTACGGCGCGAAGTAGTAAATGTACATCGTAGACATGGGGAACAGCGTTACATTTCTATCGCCGTGACTGTCGTTCCGGTTCCAAAAAATCACAGTGATAAATCATCGTGATTTTGTTACTACTGTTACTTCTGTGACCTTGGTACGCCTATAACTTACATCACGATACACGGTTTTAGCCAGCGGCTTCTTTCTAATACTTATAGTCGTTTTTTATAGAATGATTTAAGTTTTTGCTCCCTTTGTAATAAGTTTCAATTCCATTCAAAAAGTTGATTTTGTATTTAATGTAATTTTGTTTTTTACTTATTCAATGCGAATCTTTGGATTATTAAAAATAGCAATAAAGTGTAATGTAATTATATTTCTAGTAGAATACACAAAGTAGATTATACATAAATATAAAATACCAACTCTTCCTATAATAAAACAAATATACAAAAATATTTTACTTTGTTCATAAATAGGTTTATAATAACTGTTGCAGATTTTTTTCATCCGCCCTTTCTAGTAATAATAAGCATAGGTGCTTATGCGACCCTTGTGAGTGAGCAAAGAAAGTCATCCTATTTCATTCACTCCCATCGCCGAAATGGCCCGATTTGAAGAGAACTACAACGAGTGGCGCGCTCAGTCACCACGGAACGGAGATCGCACATTGTATCTATGTCGTGATGTTAGTGACAGGGATAGCTATTGGAACGGAGGAACACCTATGTGACTTTGGAATGTCGTTCCTTCGGAACGAGTTACGGTGATACTGTTTGACGGCGGATCATCGTGCTTTTTTCATAGTGACGTTATTTATCACCCACCTCTAGTACATCGTCTATCCCGGCGTCAAAGGAGCTACGGATTCTTGCCAAAGGTGCTTTGGCCTATGGCAACGGGTGGCGGAAGAAGACTCTGCCTCTGTTGTCACAGCAGTGACAACAGAGGCAGAGCTACGGCGCAAGGGGTGCACCCCTGAGACATCTACCGGACGAGATGGAAGCAGCGCGGGGAGTAAGACCCCCTAGCTGAGGAGTCATTTGGTTGTGCGCGTGAGTTAAAGTGTCAAGAAAACCGTGAGTACAATTTGAATCTTATCTATCTAGTGCATTATTGAAGTGAAGAAAGTTAAAATTTTGCAAGTGTTTTGGACTTGAATAATTTTAAAAAGTTTAAAAATTTATATGTGTTTAGGACTTAGAATAGTTTGCAAAAAAGTGAACCGACGGGGAATCCATGCCGGAGTAAGTAAACTTTGCCAAACACTTAGAAAAATTGTCACCATCGGACTTGTGATTTTTGTCAGTACTGTACGAGACTTAGTGTAAATTGGGACAGCTATCCAACACTTAAAATATTTATGTGAATTCTTGTCAGTTTATACTTGTGTTATGCTCACGTGGAAAAATATTGTACTCAGTTTGGACCAAATTGTAAATCTAAATAAGTAATTATGTCTTTACCACTGTCTTTATTTAATATTAATCATGGCTGAAAATTACACTAAGATTCAAAAAGACATTGCTACGAAAATATGTAAATCTAAATCAAATTTCAAAAAATCGCCTATAACTATAACTTTATCTTACATCAAAACTCGTTTGGAAACTTTAGAACGGCAGTTGTACGGTTTTCATAAACGTGCAAAGCAAAAATGACCAGTGTTCTCTAAAATACATAAATTACCTAGATCTCATGACACCGTGAAACCTGGTGCTAAACAGATATATCGTGAATTTGTCCATAACCCCGCGGATCAAATTATCCTCATCGTGGTGTCATCCAAATCGCAACACGCGGTGCCGGCTAGCTAACCGCCGTGATCCAGCAGCTCCTGTATTTTCATCAACCAGATCAAGGTACGTGGTGCTTTATTCAGTGTTTGGCATTGACGGTGCAAACCTGTAGGTACGGTTCTCATTTTCCAAGAGGAATCGCGAGACGGCTCCTTGTTGAGCTACGTCTATCCTGCAGATATATGGATCCTTACCATTTTGTTACCTTCATTCTCATATAGCAGTGGAATGAATTTATTAATGGTCATCGAAAAATTATATACGAGATAAGGCGAAAAGAACTCGAAAAAACTAGTTATTACATATCTGATGTTTCCGATCCGTATGTTTACAATCAAACCGAAGAGATATATATTGAGTACAAATCGCTATTAAAAGACACATTGTTAAACCTGAAACCTAGTCTCAATCCGGACAAAGGGGACGAGAAGAAGGGTGGTGAACAAACTGCAGTGAAGCTGCCTAAGATCACAGTACCGAAATTCTCAGGCAAATATTCAGAATGGGTCAGTTTTCGTGACTGTTTACCTCCTTTATTCATAACAATACCAATGTAGATGATGTTCAGAAATTACATTATCTGAAAAGTTGTGTAATTGGTGAGGCAGAACAATTACTTCGACACATACTGGTTACTTCTGACAATTATAAGGTTTGTTGGGCACAGTTGGAGAGTTACAATAAGAAAAGGTATTTAGCTAACAATTTTTTGAAAAAGTTGACTTTTCAAAAGGTCCTGGTATCTGAGTCAGCTGGTGCTATCAAACAATTGTTGGACATTACCAAGGAATGCCTACATGCATTAAAAAGTATCGGTGTAAACGTTAGTAATTGGGACATTATTATAATACACCTCATTAGTAAAAAATTTGATCCAGAATCCCGTAAACAATGGGAGCAGAAAATTAGTGATTCCACCAGTGATTTACCAAATTTTAATCAATTTGGAGAATTTTTACAAAGTAGGTTTAGATCCATGGAACATCTGGATACAAGGGTTCCAAACATTGAAAAGACTAATTGTGCTCACGTTGCGACTACAATCATAACTTGAAGTTTTTGTACGGAAAATCACAAATTATGTAATTGTAACAAATTTGCAAAGGAAAATACTGACACGCGACGTAATTTAGTCCAATCTCACCATTTATGCTTCAACTGTCTCGGTTCAGATCATTCGGTATACCAGTGTACGATATCTACAAGGTGTCGTCTTTGTAAGAAAAAATACCACACACTACTTCATCCCAAAATCCCTAAATCGGTCAATTACATAAAGACTGATCAGCCTGTAGATAATAAGGTTGCGGCTAAGTTAATCCCACCGCAAACTCATGTCGAGTTCCCAATTGCCCAAGTATTGCTTAAGTAAAGCTTCAGTAAAAGTAGAGTCAGCCAAAATGAATTCTGCATTCGTTTTAAGATCGCTGCTTGATCAGGGATCTCAGGCTTCGTTTATTACGGAATCGGCTGTACAATTGTTGGGTCTCAAAAAGATACCAGGGACCAGTATAGTATCAGGTTTAGGCGGCGACCAATTGACTTTAGCTTCAAAGTCGTCGGTAGTTATAAAAATTCAGTCCCGTCTTGATTCAAGCTTTTCTATTACAGTTAAGGCTCATGTTTTAAGTTAACTGACAACTTTTCTACCAAGTAGTAAAGTTTTTGTTCAAGTTTTACCAGCACTCCCGTCCATGGAATTAGCTGATCCATCGTTTGATATACCAAACAGAATAGATATTCTTTTAGGTGCTGTGGTATATAGCCAGATCTTGTTGGAAGGTTTGATCAGAGGTTCTTCCGGCTCTGTCGTTGCACATCACACAAGACTCGGTATGATCTTATCTGGTAAAATACACAGCGAAAACCAAGAAATCAACCATGGCGAGACGTGTCTCAATGTAGTAAACCTACATTTAGCTCAATCAAATGAGAACGAGCTTCTCAAAAAGTTTTGGGAGCTAGAGTCTGAACCATCCTTTGATAGGACTAAACACTTAACTCTAGAAGAGAAAAGTTGTGAGGAACTTTTTATTAAAACTACTAGACGCGATGAGTCTGGTAGGTACATCGTCAAACTACCCTTCAAAACGAAAAATCCACTTTGTCTACACGGTAAGATTACCGTTACATTTAGATAAAGAATATCGCGCACAAGCGTTTTCTCATGTTAGAAAAATGTTTGTTGAGAACACCCGATCTCAAAACTGAGTATTCCAAGGTCTTGGAGGAGTACCTCAGTCCGGACCATGCAGAAGTGGTAAAACCAAGTGAAGTGGTAAAAAAAGGAGTAGTAAGTATATCTACCCACCACGCCGTGGTTCGTCAAGATAAGTCTACAACTAAGGTTCGCATGGTGGTTGACGCGTCATGTACCGATTCTAATGGAATATCACTGAATAGTGAATTAATGGCGGGTCCTACGCTCAAACCAGAATTGCGACATTTGATTATGCGATGGCGGTGCTACCCGATCGCTCTTGTGGCCGACATTGTTAAAATGTATCGGCAGATAAAGGTAGCTGATGAAGTCGTAAATTTTCAACGTATATTTTGGCGTGAAAATCCAGATGTTACAACATCTTCGTTTCTTGCGAGTAACTTTTGGTACTTCCTCAGCCCCACTTCTTGCTGTTCGGTGTCTCCAGCAGCTAGTCAACGACGAGGGTTCTGAATTCCCATTAGCGGTCTCTAGAGTCCTTAGTCAATTTTATATGGATGACTTGATGACCGGCTGTCATTCCATAGCTGAAATTACTACTTTGTTTAAACGTGGAGGATTTCCACTTCAGAAGTGGTCAAGTAATAGCAAGGACTTACTGAAGGTAATAAAAAATGAGGCTGATGATGTAAACCAGAATTTGGAACTAAATACCGACGACGTTATAACGATTTTCGGTCTGAAATGGAATAGAGAAGCTGACGAATTTCGTTTTACGGTCGATCTACCTATTTTGCAAGCTCTTGTAACAAAACGAAAGATGATAATGCTCGTCTCTACGATCCTTTGGGGTGGATAGCACCGATTATCACCACAGCGAGTTTTTATTCAAAATACAAGGTGTGGCTACCCAGAGTCGATTGGGATAGTGAACTTCCGGATTCAATTCGTAAAAACTGGACGAATTTTCGAAACAATTTGAAAGCGCTAACCGAGTTTCGAGTACCTCGATGGATTCACTCCAAGAAAGACAGAAGATAAGGTATTTGAATTGCACGGGTTTTCAGACGCATCCAATGTGGCGTATGCAGTAGTGTCTACGCGCGCATAATTGATGAACAAGGAAGAGTACATATGCATTTGATCTGATGATGCATTTCACCTCCAAAACCAGAGTAGCTCCAATCAAACAAATATCAATCCCACTCCTAGAGCTGTGTGGCGCGGTATTACTAGCCAAGCTTTTAAATGAAGTGGCAGATACTCTTCAAGTACCTAAAGGGAATTTACGTGCATGGACCGACTCATCAAGTGTGCTAGCCTGGCTAAGTAATCATCCTAGCCGGTGGATGACCTTCATCGCTAGCAGGGTATCGGAGATTCTCACCATTACGGATAGAGATCAATGGTCTCACGTTGCCTCTAAGGAAAATCCTGCAGATCCTGCATCTCGAGGATGCCGTCCTCGAGAATCCTGCATACCGTCGGAATGTGTTGAGAATTTGCTCTGGAACCAGGGTCCCGAGTGGCTGCATCTGGACAAAAATAATTACGGAAAAAGCGAACTGAAGGATACAAACCTGGAAGAGAGAAAACCTAAAATTATGATTCATGTACCTACAAGTAACGAAGAAAACGATGAGCTATTGTCTCGATTTACGTACCTAAAGAAACTTACCAGAGTGCTGTCGTTCTGCCGAAGGGTCCAGCGGTGGAAAAAATCTGAAAATATTAGTACATAGTTAAAAGCAAAAGAAATCAACGATGCTTTACTTACCTGTATAAAAATGTGCCAAAAACAGAGTTTCAACGAAGACATTGATAATTTGCAGAATTGTAGAAAAATAAATAAGAAGAGCAAACTTACTTCTCTGAATCCATTCTTAGACGCAAATCAAATCCTCAGAGTTGGCGGAAGGTTATAAGGTGCTCAGGTCAATGAAGACATGAAACACCCGTTTATTCTCCCTCACAAGTCGCCGTTGACACAATTAATGATTGACGAAGCTCATAGGGCTACGTTGCATGGAGGGCCTCAATTAATGCTTAATTATTAAGTAAGTATTGGATTATTGATGCAAAGAGTCTCGTTCATCGGTTTGTGCACAAATGTGTGACTTGCGTCCGCCACTCTACTCAAACGTGCCAACAAATGATGGGACAGTTGCCCATATTAAGGGTGACCGCACGTAGACCTTTCCACAGATTTGGCGTAGACTATGTTGGCCCAATCAACGTGCGACTTTCAAAGGGTCGCGGTTTTCACTCCACAAAGGGTTATGTATGCCTGTGTTGGTGTGTATGGCCACAAAAGCCATACACCTCGAAATCAGTGATATGACTGCACAAAGCTTTTTAGCTGCATTTAAAAGGTTTGTTGCACGAAGGGGTCATGTTGCAAATTTGTGGAGTAATAATGGCACTCCTTTGTGGGAGGCGCTAAGGAGTTAAAGGAACTGTTGTGTGGTGTTGTGGCTGAAATCGCGGCTTGGATGTCTTCAAATGGCACTAATTGTCACTTCATCCCTCCTCATTCTCCAAACATTGGAGGATTGTGGGAAGCGGGCGTGAAGTCAACCAAGCACCATCTCAAGCGGGTAGGCAATAGCACCCTCACATTTAAAGAAATGACAACAACCTAGTCACAAATTGAGGCGTGCTTAAATTCAAAGCCTATTTCTCAGTTACCTAATAATCCAGGCGATCCAAATCCTTTAACACCCGGACATTTCCTCGTAGGAGAGCCATTAGTGCTCATACCCGACATTAATTATGAGCATGCCAACATTAGCAATCTGAAACGGTGGCATCGTACTCAACATATTGTCCAGGATTTTTGGCGTAGATGGTCTCATGAATATTTGACGCAGCTGCAGCACAGATATCTAATCCCAGAACCTGAAGTTGGAAGTGTTTTGCTTGTCAAAGAAGACGATCTCCCACCTGCCAGGTGGCTTTTTGGTACTGAAAAACATCCCGGTTTGGACAAATTAACGCGAGTAGTCACAATCATAAATCTCTTTTGAATATTTTAAATATATTGTTGATTTTACTTTATTATGTATGTTACTATAGCTGTGATGCTTTATTTTAACCGAGTACTCTTCTCATGAACCGAGTTATTCGGCCGAGTACACCGAGTACCGAATAGCAAACTTCACACTGTTTTTACAAAAATCTAATTATAACCAACCCACAAAATGTCACTTTCGAAGTGACATTTTGTGGGTTGGTTATAGTTTGCATAACTATGTCCAACTACATATCTCGTAAATATCGTGCTCAACGGTAGACAGCCGATTACAATACAATATATATTAATTTGTCAAAACCAAAACAGAGGTCTGGCAACATATCCCACATACGCAAGCTACGCAGCAGAACTTTTCAACGTTGCAATTTTACTAAATAATCAAGGACGCAAACAATAATTTCATTTTTGTTTTGAATATTATGCGTTTTAGGTTCTAATCCAACCAAAAATATATTTTTTTATTCTCACCTAATGGCTAAATTTGACTTTTTTAAATATTTTGTTTTGATTTCAATGAATTGGTGCATTATATTTACTTATTTACGTATTTTTTGTGTATGATATTTTTTCACACTGTTAAGTGCCTGTTCATAATTTGCAAGGAAATATTTAGCTCAAACTTTAGTAGGTGAAAGTTACTTTTTACTCCTAAATTTGTTGTTTCTCTTTTATTTAAAACAAATAAAGTGGCAGGATCAAGATAAGTACCATTTAAATAACCACACCAAATTTGGTAGTAAGCAAGTTTGGTTTGCCCGAGAAAAATATATCAAGAAATAATCACCAGAGTCTCATTGTAATCCAGTTTTTGTATTACGTATGACAATAAGCAATATTCTGGGATCTTCAAGCTACACTTCAAGATACGTGTTACAGGATGTACTATTTTTAAAGTTCCACGTGCTATGTGATCGCCTAAAAAATTACACAAAAACACCATATTTAAACGATTTTGGGCACCTCATCGCCTTAAATATAAGGGTAACTTTATTAAACGACCTGTGTCGAAGTTAGTTGTTTTGTCTTTAAATAACACTTTTTTACTTTTTTAACGAACACTATAATTTACTTGTACTTACAATTAAATGTAATTTTAAGTTGTAACTAAGTCGTATTAACCTTACGAGTTTAGTTCTTTTAGTTGAGCAAAATTGTTCGATTACATTTATAAAGTAGATTTTTTTGTTTCTGTTTATGCTTGTATTATTTCCGTTTATGGACTTGGTCCATGGCGGGCAGAATGTTAATACTTCTATTAACATTATACATAAATTTAGTTTAGGTAAGATGCCGCTAGATGGCGCTGAACCTTTTATGCAATTTTCTAAAACGCGCTATTGAGTTGTTCACGGAAATTGTATAACTGTGGAGTAATTTACAAATAAAAACGTGCCATTGGTACATACAGGTTGTTTCATTTTGGGTGTTTTTGGGACGCTATACACCTTGCCTGAGATGAGACCAGTGCCCAGCAATGGAACGTATTAATGGATTGATGATGATGATAATGAAACTGGTTTTGGTACCCTGGAGTGAATTCTGTAGTTCTGGTACTCAAAGTACTGGGAATTTCCTAATTTGAGACCAGGCAATTGGTGTGCTTGTCGATAAAAAGAAAATAATAAAATAAATCAGAAAATATTACAACATAATCGACTTGTACAGTTCAACATAAATATATCGGAACCATTATGACGATGGAACTTCGTAAAACAATTCATACGGACCGGTATTCAAATAAGGTTTTCGGTACGATGCATAGCAACCGAGCGTTAGTATTTATTGGACTGTCTTTGAATTGCTGTGAAATACTTGATTTGCGTTATTGAAAGCAGCACTACCATTTGATGCAACTACTTACGTATCCTGTATCCGCCTCCGCACATTTGCTCCGTGAATGAATATTCAAATAGCTCTCTCGGCACACAATTTTCTTCCAAAGTGCGCACTCCATATCAATTAGTAACGTCATTAGACGAAACGCGTAATGTCTGGCTAATGAATATTTTCAGTTTCACCGTGGCGTGATGGATGTGTGCAATTTTAAGTCCCGTCGCGGTTTTAATAAATAAGAAGCTCAAATAAATTACACCTAGACACTGGGGTATTTAATATTAATTGTAGTTTCAGATGCCCTGCCGTTCTAATTGAAATGTTATGGCCGAATTTAATAAGTTTACAGGAAATACAGTTTACGTAGTTTAAACATTGCAAGTTAAATAGTGAAAAATTTATTTACATACTAGCTGGTGCACATCGCATAGAACTGAGGGACACTGCTAGTGCGCCCGTCGTACTTAAACTGAAAGTTCACAAGGTCCATATATCTGTAGTTTCACTGGCAGCCATATCCTTCAAAACCGGAGCGCAGTAATACTCACATTACTGCTCGGAGCTAGAAATGGGTAAGGAGGCAATACCTCCTTAGGGAAACCCTTTGACTAGGAGCTTTATCGTTATAAATTTTTTAAAGACGTCTCTTTAGAGTACCTATCCCATTTAAGCCATGCCCCTATGATCAGAAGAGGACAGATAGGTACCTGTAGGTTTTCTTGTTTACTATACTTATAGTAATTTATTTAAATTTTGTCTTACGTACAGTTCCAAATCTATAGAATACAGTGGTCATTGTTCTGGAATTTTCCAAAAGCGCTACACGTGAACCACAGTTTGCGGCAGACGTAATACCCGGCATGTTGTCAGGTGGAATTCGACGAATTTGTTAATCCGATTAAATCAACTTTGATCAAATTCAATTTATTGAATGTCTAAACAGAGTGCTGGAAGGTTCAAACAACTGAGATATCTACACAGCTGTAGATTTT